TATTATTATTATTATTAAAGGATTGATTATTTTTATCAAACGTATGAAAAGTCATTCTTGTTAGATATATTTCATTAAAAAAGATATTTTTTTTACACTTTCAAAAATTCTCCTTCTTCTATTCACATTTTAGATAATTAATATATATTTTTATTATTTCATTATTTTATTTTTTACTATTATTTTTATTCTATTATTTTATTTTTATTCTATTATTTTATATAAACGTGCGGCAGTGTCTTCTATTCAAGATCATGGCCAAGGGAACTGTTCGAGAAAATGTCGACATTCCATAAAAAGAAGTGAACTACTCTTGTCACCAGAATAATAAGTGTCACTCCTTTTATGCAATATATTGGAATCAGCATGCATGTTTCTCTAGACAATTTTTATTGTTGCGAAAAGGATATTTTCACTCTCGTCGTACGGGTATAATAAAACGCGAAAGTGATTCATCCCCTCTTGAAAAAGGCATCGCGTGTAAGCCTCTAAGATCAGTAATCTGCGCATCTAGCAGCCACATATATAAGATGGTAAAAGTATACGACCTGATCTATTTACTGTTAACTCGAGCAACGTGCTCGAAGAGAGAAGAGATTGTTCCCAGAGACGAGATCATTTAATTCAGGATGGAACATGGGGTACGTTCTTATACTGTTAGAGTATTCAGTGATGTGAATGAGTGTTGAGATTTAAACTGTGTCATTGTGTAAATTTCATTCTCGATCAGTGCGTGTTAGATAACAATAAAATTCCATTAGGAGTGCAATAGAGTGCATAATATAAAAAAGCTTTTTATTAATTCATTTAACTTTTTTTTTGCGTAATTTTTTATTGTTTATAAAATACAAATTTATCAATATTAAAATGACTGAATCATTCATTTTAGGAAGTAAAAAAATTTTTTTACAGAAATAGAGAAAAATTTTATTTTTGTTTACTTTCAATTTGATCTTAAATTTTTTTCATAAAAATTATTACAAGTAGAATAGAATAGAACAAAACAGAAAATTTTTAATTGCCATGCTTTAAATTTAGTAATACAACTCTTATTTTATTGAAATGTTGTCTCAAGTTCTCTTTAAAATAATCGATTTAATTTATATTTTATTTAGACAATTTTTATATTTGATAAGATATTTTTCCTTTTGGAAGATAAAATTTTTTGTTTTCAGTTTGCAAAAATATTTTTAAATAGCTTTTATTTATTTTATGTTAAAAATAAGAGAGAGAAATTTGTAAAATCTTGAATATATAATAATTTATAATCATTAATATTATTTGCAGGGATACGCAAGATTTTTATTATCATTCTTCATGGTTACTGCAATGAGTTTTCCGATGCAGAACAGCTATGATAGACGCATTTACAACTATAAACACTTCCCTGCAGTACGATATCATCAAGTTATGCCTTTCCATATAAAGCAAAATAGAGTCAATTATATCGAAAAAGGAAACATTTACAACACGAACGTACATAGAATTGAACAAGGAGAGCCTAGAGATAATGAATGTAAGTATCCTAATATATTAAATAAAATTAGCAATATAAAAACCAATACGTTTTTTAATATTGTAAAGAATTTTTCAAACAAGATTTAATAAACATTTTATAAATTGACCAAAAATGTTAATGTTCAATAGAAATATATATAAAAATA